TCACGAGGTGCATCCAGCCCCAGCAGAGCCACAGCCCACCGTGGCCCCGCGCCAGCAACAACATGTTGGGTTTAATTAAAGCAGTATTTTTCATCTCCTTCATACGTTATTTGGTTATTACTTTGGAATGAGCCAAGGAATTCTTGTATTTTCCCCCCACTCCCTCCCTTTCTCTTTTAATCTGCTTTCTCCCCTCCTTCCTTTTGCCCTTTTGGTGCCCTTTCCCTCATCCCCGGGGTTTTAACTTTTTTCAGCTAGCATGAAGTTGAGATGAGGGAAGCCCGGGGTTCATAAGGTGGAATCAGCTGCTTGCAGCGGTGTGAGGTGCCGGTGTGCCCCACCTGCTCCAGCAGGGCAGGAGCTCACAGGTAGAAAGGCTCCATCACGGGGAAAGGAGAGGGTGTTTCTCTGTCTCAGTAAGACCAAGACCAGACTTGAATTAGATTTGTTTGTGCAAGCACCAGCGCAGCGGGAAGCGATGGCTCCTGCACAGGGTCTCTGAGATGCTGTTAGATGATGCAGCTCCTCACTTCGGTGCTCAGAGGGTGCCCTGCAGTGAAACCAGCCCCACCACCTGGTTTCTTGTCCTGTTGTGCCAGTGCTGCCTGCGGGAAGTAGCGGAGACAATGTCCTCCTGGGAGCTGATGCCTCAATAGGGAAGAAACTTATTTGCAATGACTGTCTCGTTCGGAAACACCCTCTGCTCGACGGGATGCTCCGGGCTGGGCTGAGTTCAGCTGGGGCTGCTGTGAGGGGTGAGACACCACTAATGCTGTCATTCCTCTCCTTCCCCAGGCCCTTCCCGTCGGAGGAGACCACGGACAATGATGACGATGTGTATCGGAGCTTGGAGGAGCTGGCGGAGTAAGTGGCCTTGCCTTCTCATGGGGAGGGGACACAAACAGGGAAAACTTGCAACGTTGTTTTAGCGAAGTCAGATAAAATTTGACAGCAGGGCTCTGAGAGCCAGGCTGGCTGCTTTGATCACCTTGCCAGGGGATTTTTGTGCTCTTACAATAGTCCATCTTTTCCCACATAGAGCCCTGAGAGACGTCAGTTGTTATCAGGTTGAGCTTAAGAGAGATGAGAGGGTGGCAAGGGGGGGCCAAGCGCCCAGAGAGCCCCTCTGCCTGGGACTGGGATACCCATTGCTAGCTCAACACTGGACCCACACACCCCTGTGTTGGTTTTGTGGCTTTGTGGGTGCTGGCACATGGGTCTGTGACCCTCGTGAGTGATTTTTGGACCCAGAGCAGTCCTTCGCAGGGGACCCATCCTGCTGCTCCTGTGGAGGTGTGCAGGGTGATGCTGCTGGGGTTGCTGTGTTTATCTGGGTCTCTGGCAGCTGCGTTTTGCTGCCCCTGGTGATGATATAACAAGCTTTTAAAAGCAACCTTGAACTGCAATGTATGGGGTGAAACGCGGGCGCTATCGGAATTCGATGGCAGCGTTCCCGTCGGCTGAGGTTTTAGTTATGAAGTGCAGTCTGTTTCATATGGAGGGAAAGTCTGTATGGGTGGATATGTGGCTTTATGCAGTTAAATATTATTGTTCCACAACATAAATAATAAGGCTCCTTAATCCAATGAGTTCCTTATGGCTGAAGTTATTACAAAAGTTAATCATAAATTACTAGCCGAGGGAACAGAGTACCCTGGAATCCCCTGCTCGTGGTTTGCTCCCAGCAGCTCCAGTTTAATAAAATTTTAACGTATAAAGGGATCCTTTCAAGAAGAACATTTTCCCTCTCCCCCCCACTCCTAAAGTTCTCAAAATCCCTTTAATACTGGGGTTTAAAATTCCTGATTCTCACACACAGACGTGAATTTAATTGGAGGAAGGTTGGTGTGTCAACTCGCCCACGAGCACCGGTGGGGATGTCAGATGTCAGCCCTCTCCTAGAAATCGGGGTCTCAGTGTGATGCTCTCGGGGCTCAGAGCGCGTTGTTCAGTGCCAGGGATGAGCTCCCACCTTCACATGCTCTGCAGCTGGCAGTGCAGCTCCTGTGCCCTGTCCAGGTGGAAGCTTCCCAAACCGTTCCTTTGCTCACGACTGCGAGTCGGTCCTTCTATGAGAGGGACTTAAATGCCCAAGTCCCATGCTCGGATGACTTAGAGGTTTATTTCTTACTGATCACTCCGTTCTGCCCTAGATGGTCTCCAACTTTTTAGCTTTCACTTTATTCCCCATTCTTTGCAAAATCCTCCTCTTTACATCTTTAGTCAGGACCGCTGGAGAGAAGTGTGTGTAAATCGGCGTTGGGGATGTTACACAAATTCCTTTGTCAAGATCTGTGCTCCCGGTGCAGCCAGGTTGTGCACGGAAAGACAACCTGTGGAACGGAGCCATAATTCACTCATCAACTGTAAAAAAACCCTGAAATGCCCCGGAGAGCCCCGTAGCACGAGTGTTGCTGCTCTCACTGCCCGGCAATAGCCCCCTTTCTCCCTTGGACAAGGAGTGACTCTCCGTGCTTGACAAGGAAACTTTGACTGGGAATTTGCCGGTCACAATGGTGCGTACTGGGCAGCGATGCTGGTCGCTGGCAAACCACGGGGCCACATGAGAAAGCTCTTTCTTAGCTGCTGCCGATCTCCGAGCAGCTGAACAAGGGCATCTTTCATGAGCTGGGAATGATTCAGTCCATCCAGCATCTTTGCATTTCATATTTGCTGATGGTCCAGCAGCCCCGGGAAGATCCGAGCGCACCCGAAGTGCTTTCCTGGAGGCGAGGAAATGGTTTTTGCAGCAAGCACTGAAGTGACCCAGCGCGGGGAAGGAACTGCTCCTGAAGAGCACAACCAGGCGCAGGAACACTCCTTCCTTTCGCAGCGGACACCTCTCCGTCTCTGGCTGGTTTTTCCACATTAACTTGCTACACCTCTGCAGCCGAGTGATTATTTTTTTGCCCTTTGGATCATTTTGGAGGGGCGCACAGTCCTGTCCCTAAAACTGTGACATACTGTCACTGGGGTGCAGGGACACAACCCTAGACGTTTTCGGGGCTGGTAAAAGTGTGGGGGTTTTGGTTTTCGTTTTTTTTTTTTAGAATGCCAAAATGCTTTTTTTCAACCTTAAGTACTTAAACAGAGTGGTTTGCTGTCCCTGAATATGAGATTTGGGGTTCAAAATACTCCTTTAGAATGCCAAAATGCTTTGTTTGAACCTTAAGTACTTAAACAGAGTGGTTTGCTGTCCCCAAATATGTGATTTTGGGTTCAAAATATAACCATATCTGACGGAGGTGCAGATACGGGAAGCAGAAGGGATCAGGCTTTGTCCCTGTGATGCTCTAGAGGAGCGGAGGAGCTGGGGACAAAAGCCGGATCGGTAGCGGTGCCATGAGGGCCGTTTATGCACGTTGCAGAAACAAGCTGTCTGTGTGCAAGCGCGAGGGCGGCTGTGGGGTGCTCGAGGTTATAAAGGATGTTCATGCCTTGATGAACCCATTGTGCTTTCTCCTTTGGGGTATCACAGAGGTTACGCCGGGCTGCACGCAGCTCCCCAGCACCGGGTCAGCCGCCTGGCGGATCAAAGCAGATAATTGCCTGGAAACAGCTATTTATTTAAGAAAGAAAAAAAAAGAAAAAAGGCACAAAACCTCAAAACCCCAAAGAACAATTGATGATTGAAAGGGGAGGGGAAACTACAAGGGTATCAGGGGAGCCAGAAAGTTCTCAGATTCCCTGTTCTTGGCCTGCTGGCCCCTCGGTTTGCTTTGCCATCAGCCAGATGACAGCCTGGGAGAGCCCGGGCAGATGGTGAGGGCTGGCCAGTTTGCAAATGGTGCCTGATCGATACTGGGAGGAGTAGTAAAGGGACATATGTCCTCTGCTGCCTGATTTATTTCTGCGTGCCCTAGTGCCAGACCCCAGAACCACAGCTGGTTTCGGAGGGGAGTTTGCCCAGGAAAGGAGCAGAGCTTTGCCGCCACGTTTGCTGGAGCCTGCTCTGTGAAATCAAAGCGATCCTTGTCCTGAGGATGCTCCTGCAGGTCTGCAGGGATGTGAGCTGATGCCTCCTGCACGGCTACAGCTGCTGGGCACTGACAGCCACCCGCCTTACTGCTGAGCATCCTCCCCACAGACTGCTTTTCCATCTCTCTTGCTGGTTATTTCAGCTGCCTCAAACCATTCTGGTATTTCAGAAGTTATATTTAACGTTTAATCTAAATTTTCTCTGCTGCCACTTCAGCTCTCTCCAGTTCATCTCCTTAATTTTAATTGTCCTGCAAGTCCGTGTCCCCTGGTCTTGTTTCAAGCAGCAGCTCGCTGGGGATTTATCCCCCAAAAAAGTATTGGAAATAGTGACGTGTTCCTAAACTTTTTGTTGTAGAGAGGGGATGTTGCAGGAGATCTCCTGCCTGTGCTAAATTTCTCAAGCGATGCAACTCGTTTGGGCCCAGACTCTGCAAACGACCTGTCTCCTGCCAAGAAGTTCTTGTTGAAGTTTCTCCTGCTCCTTTCACTGCTGTTCCCTAGCATTGCATCCTTGTACCTTCGAAAGTAGTGATGTGATCAGCAGAACTTCTCAAGTGCATTAAAAAAAGTAATGAATAGAGGAGCCAAGGTGAGATGATAAGTTAGCTGCCACTTTTCTCATTATTTTTCCTGTGTTGGGAAAACCACGCATGCCAGCCAGTTAAATAAATGGCTCCATGGTACAAGGCACTCAAGCCATAGTCCTTGTAAATGCATCTTTTCTTCTTTGTCACCAGTAGAGATTTTTATACATCCTGCTTTTGCCGTTTCTAGGATCATGTTGGTTGCTGTGAGGCTCATTCTTGGGATTATAATGTTCCGCTTTGAATGCGGAATGTAAGACCTGAGTGGAAGAGATGGCAAAAGGCTTCTCTTGCTATTCCCAGACACATGTCTCTGTCCAAGCACAATCTGGCTAATTAAAACCCTGCGAGGTCTCAAGTCCAACAACTGCACATCTTGCACTTCTTCACCCTGAAACCCAAGCCTGCCAGATGTGCTACAAATATAGGGCTCTGCTTGTCCTCGTCTGATGGAGACCCTGAATGAGGGGGTTGGTCGGATGAACCATCTATTTATATCTGTAAGTGCAGAGTAAGAATGAGAAAGTGGAGGATTACTGGGGCAAACTGGACCCTCACAGCTGCTGGGCAGCTGTCTCGGGGCCCCTGCAAGTGCACTTCCAGCCTGGACCCTGTGGTGGCTCTGAGATCTTCTGGCACTTAACCTTGGCTGCAGGGCTGGAGATTTAGGTTTGTCTTTTGGTTGTCTTATTTTTAGCTCCTCCTCTTCTTTCTTTCGCTCTTCCCAGTGGTTCTGGCTCTTTCATCAGCGGAGGGAAAGCAGCGACGTGATTTGGGCAGGTTTTGCCTGAAGTTGCCTTAAGATGTGAAAAGCTTTATTCTTTTTTGCTTTGAATGAGCTTTCCTGGCTAGGCAAGATTCTGCCAGCCCAGAGCTGGTTGCATCCCTCCTAATAACAGTAATTGCTAATGCTGGCGTTAACTCTGGAGGGTGGATAAAATCCCATTCCTAAGTCCAGAGCTGTCAATGAATCTCCTAATCCAGGCTGTAGATCGTAGGCTCTGATACCCACGGGTAACTTGCAGACTCTGATGCTTTTATTGAAGGAATAAATTGCTTTTCTTTGTGGAGAACGAGGTGAGGGTCTGGCTTTCCCTCCTCAAGTTGTTCAGTCTACGCGTGACATGCTTGGGATGCTGAATTTATTGCCTCCCGCAGCAGGGGTGTGCTAAACACAAAAAATACCTGCCTCATTTCCCCTCCCCTTACAGCATTTAAAATTTAGTGTGTTCTTAGGCTGCCACTGGCTAAAATCATGCCAATGCCTGCTCCCTTTTTTTAATGATGAAGAGGATGCATATTTTCAACTCTGACAGACAATTGTGGAGATCGATGATAATCAATACGTGCGGCGTCAACAGCCGTGTGCACACCGGTAAAGCTCGGCTGCTCCAGGAGAGGCTAATCTGCAGGTTTTACTGCTCTCCATAAAACTGGCAGCTTCTGGTGTTTCTCAGAGATGTACTAGGAATGTGTCTTAATAAATAAGGGTCCGTTGGACAAAGGTGATGTTGTTTTAATACACTACAGCTGTCGGGCTTGAGCATCTCTAGTGCCTCTCCCTTAAGCTCTGATATGGAGATGTCTTTCTGGATGGCCCCAGGACAACGGAGTTCTCCTGGTTTTTGCCTGAGGTCAGAAACTGGAGATGGGAAGGGCTTGCCCTTGTGTTGATGAGCAGGAACGAGCGGAGCAGCAAAGGCTTGGTCCCTGGGTTAGAGCAATGAGAGCATCGAGGTGCTGTCAGGATGCGATGGGTACAGTGTTCGTGTCAACTGTCTTGGCAACTCTATGGACGAATTTGCTGTGGTGTCCCTCAGCAGGTGTTTCTGTCCCTTTCCCGGTGGCCCAGAGAAGCTCTGGGTAGGGCCAGGCTGGCCCAGGTCCGTGGGACAGCTGCCTTACTCCAGGCTTGATCCAGGCAGCCCGTGATTTAGCAAAGCCCGTTCAACCATCCCATGCTGCCGCCTGGGTTTTTCACAGTGTGTGCCTGACCACGGTCCAGAGCTTGTGGCTTCTTGGTGGGTGAGAAAAGGTGGACTTGTCCAGGCTAGGGCAGCAGCAGCCTGGGGACAGGTGGTGCTGGGCTCTGAGGCTTGGACACGGTGCCTGGTTGTGCCTCTGTGCAGGAGAGAAGGACCAGCTGACGCTCGGGATACGGAACTTTCCAGAGACCTCAATATGCTGTCTTCTTCTGCACGTAGCCCAAAGCTATTGCTGAGAGCTCCCGTTGCTGGTGACGAGCACCTATCACCCAAAGCAGGCTCAGCTCTGGCAGCAGCATCACCGCAGCGCTCGCCGTGGCCGCGCCGTACCCATCTGGTACTTGCTCTTGAAGTGGACCCAACCAAACATTCCCTAACAACCCTCGAGCCAGGGAAGCGATGTATGGAGAGACAGCCAGCAATCCAAGAGGTGTGAGCAGGAAGGGGAGATTAATCAGGAACCAGGAGTTACTTGCGCTGGATACGGAGCGAAGCTGAGAATATAAATATTGGTACAGATAATAACGGCGATGGCGACACTTGGGAAGGGGAAGATGGATCACCAGCTATTAGTGGGCATTATTACAGCAACTGTAATGCATCACTCTGGAAGAATGGGACGGATACATCGTGCCAGCATATTTATTTAAAATCCCCAAACTTTTATTACATAAATCTGGGTTTAAAAATAGAAAGAACTGTGTTTAGAAAAGAAATAAAGCCCAGTTTTGCAAACAGATGTGCTCTGGTGCTCCATACTGTATAATATAGAGATGTCAAGCGTTACAGTTTGAGCACAGTTTTACACCTAAATGTATTGGTATGTAATTAATGCCCATGTTGAAAGAGAGCTCGGAAGATATGCAAACATTATTTGATATTCCAGCGTTTCACACTGTCTTGATCCCGTGGGGTTGACTTCAGTGGGAGCCGTTAGCAATCAGCACCTGTAGATCTAAGCGCTGAAATTGTTATTGTTAATTGGTGTTTATTACGGGTTGAATTTTCAAAAGTGTTCTAAGGCTTAGGAGCCCCTGGAGGGGTTTGTAATGGCTCAGATGACAATTAAGTACCTAACACCGTCACCTTTAGATATGAATTGGGCACTATGTCTTGGTGACGCCTTTAAAGCCTGGGTTTACAGGGACATCTCCTAAGTGATGTGACTGCTTCTGAAAATGAGAGTTTTTTGCTGCTTAATTTCCCTATGATATAATTATTATTATTGGGCTCTGCTCAAGGTGGGAGCTGAGCAACACCAAGCTGAGTGTCTGGCGAGGTTGCCTTGCAGGGGTCAGGAGAATCTCCCCCTCCTCCAGGAACCGTTAGATCAGAAATCACCCGCTTGCAAATGTGCTTTATGAGAGTGGGTGCATCATCCAGAGAAACTGGATCCAGAACGTTTAAACCTGGACCTGGTGCCCGTGGCTGCTCCTTGTCCTAAAGAGGAGAGGCAGGAGATGCTCCTCAGAGGCAGGTGGAGCCGTCTGGTGGCCCAGATGAGCTCCTTGGCTGGCAGGTCTGTCTCCGGGTTGATCATGGCTGAGCAGACGCTCTGCGGGGACAGAGCTGGCAGACCTCGACGTGCCGGGCATTGCCTGGCACGGGGCTCGGAGCGGCTCCTTGGCCACAAGCCCCGCTCATGTTGAGCAGCCTTTTTGCCTTTTCCAGCCTCTGGTGAGCAGGCACCAACCGATCTGGGAAAAACGAGACTTGTGACATGGTCAGGATGTGTCAACGCTGTGGGAGAATTTTCTTATTTTTGCAGTTATCCTCCCTCCGTGGTGCCAGAGCAGTTGCTGGGTTGTCTGATCGAGCGGCAGCAAACGTACCCTGTTCATTATCACTCAAAATCACTTTCCTTCTCGTTCCAGTGAACATGATCTGGGGGAGGATATTTATGACTGCGTCCCCTGTGAAGATGAAGGCGATGATATCTATGAAGATATCATCAGAGTGGAAGTTCAGCAGCCCATGGTAATAATTTATTTGCATTTTTAAAGCTATACCTTGATGGGAGGAGAATGGAGAGGATTCAGTTAAATAAATGTCTGCCAGCGACAGGTGATGTTGTGGGGAAGGGAATTGCTTTGTGTTGCTCCTTGAAACTGAGCTGCCTGGTGAGAGGTAAAAATGAGCCAAGCTGGGATGGTGCTGGCCTGGAGGGGTTTCTCCAAGGAGTTTCCCATCGTGTTGTCTGATGGAGTTTGGGGAAGAGGAAGGAAAAGGGAGAGCTAATAAGACTTAAAAGATAAGCTAAAAATAGCAATTTGCTGCTGAGCCAAGGCGGCGTGTGTCGCTTCAACCCTTTCTGGGAGAGGGGAGTGCAGCAGCTCTGCCTTCTCCATCAGCCAGATGTGCTGTGTCGGGGATTTTTAGGTTGGGGCGAGCGCTGACAGATCTATCCCTGTCCATGACAGGGAGGTTGGATCTCTAAGGTCCCTTCCAGCCTAGGCCATTCTATCATCTGTGCGTGGAGGATCCAGCGCTTGTTTGTGCCTGTCACTGCTCCTGCCTGGGTGTCTCGGAGCAGGTAGATGTTTACAGCAGAGCTTTCTGGACCCGTGTGGTTTTCGGGACAAGCAGCTGACCCCAATCATTATCTCTAAAAGCTTTTCGATGATGGGGAAGTCCGGGTGTGCAGCGTGCACGGCCACACAGAGGGGCTTGCATAAACTAAAAGGGCTCTGGTGCAAATATCATGCTCCATGGATGAGCCAGGAAGGTGCTGGTGGTCCCTGAACTCCCCTCAATGTGCTCACCCTCACTGCCTGCGTCCCCAGCACGGAGGCGATGGGCTGCCCTGCCTTCTGCTGATGCAGAGCTGGAAGGGACCTTTCCCCCACAGCGTGACCTTCCAAATTTTCTCCCACCCTCTGCTATTTGCCACTCCCAGGCTTTGTGTAGACTCTAATTACAGTCTTCTGGCTGCAATCGGTGCTGATGATGGTGTGTACCTCCCCGTTACAAAGCACGGTCAATGGACAAGATCACTGATCAATAAAGTCCCCGGAGCGGGGTGTGGGGCTGTGCTGGGAGCTTGGGAAGGCAGGGCTGCCCCCCACGGAGCCCAGCACCTGAGCCCGTGCCCACATGGTGGTTTCTCACCCGTCCTGAGCCTGGCTGCAAGTGGTACCAAGACCACGACGATGGTGGTTGAGGCATTTTGTCACTTCACGCCTTGTCTGCAGCCCGAGGAGCCGAGAGAAATGCCTGGATCAAGGAGTCGGGCACAAAACGTTCCCACTGCTCCTGCCAAAGCACTTATTGCTGTTTACAGCGACAATGCTCGAGTCAGGGCAGCTCGTTGGCCACCAGTGGTTTTACCGTGCTGTGCCATCATTTGCAGAAGCCATTTGGCCCAAGAATTGCCTCTTGGGAAAGTTTCGCTAGGAATTTCTTGAATAAATGGCAAAAATGAGAGAAAGTTGCCACTGTGTAGTGGGTGGTGCAGGATTAGGATGAGTGAAATTGGCAATTTTTCACTGTCCCCTCCACAAAGTTTTATGTTCACTTGAACACTGCTGAGCGGTGATGGAGTCCATGGACTCTCTTTCCTGCCCTTCCCTGAGGAAAAGAGTCTGTTTTTAATGTAAGCACCCACACATCTATATAAATACTGGATACCTATATACTAAATATCTATATAGATACTGGATAATTTATTTTTTTTTTTAAGATTTGTTGCAATAGCAAGTGTGTAATGCTAATTTCTTCTGTTCCTGCACGCTTCAGATTAGATATATGCAGGTAAGACACGTTGATTAAAATACTGTTTTCTGTCCAGCTGATAGGTCTGAGCTGTGGGCAATAAGGGGATGCACAGGGGGTGTCTGTTCCTGTGCATGGGCATTAACACCCCGTCACTGAATCACTTCCCGAGTTCAGAGTCTGTGCTGACAAGTGCAACCCAACAACCTCCCGAGAAGTGACTGTAGGAGTTGGGGCTTTAAGAAAAACGTGTATTATCAGATCTGACCTAAAATCATAAGAACTGGCAACCCTAGCAGGGGATTTGTATAATTCTTATTATTTATGACCCACTTAGGTTCTGCTGTGTTTCATCTCAAGGAAAAAAAAAGAAACACAACAAAACAAGCCCAAGTGAGGAAACCTGGCATTTACCTCTTATTTATTCCTCTTTAGCTGATGGTCTTTGGTGATGTGGTTATAATAGATGCAAAACATGTGATGCTTGCCATGTCAAAACATACTGAATGGTACAGCCAGGGTTCTTCCCTATTTTATTTATTTTTGATAAAAGGAGTTTCCTTTAAAATGAACCAGTAGCCCTGACTTTCCAAACTTGTCCTTGTTCCGAGTTTGCTGTCACTGAAGGCGGAACCGGAGCTCTGCTCCACATGAGCAGGTTGCTGCACCACTCTTAAGAGTATCTGACCATGCGTTATTTTTCCTTTTTCTAGAAAATGGGCATGACAGAAGATGATAAAAGAAATTGCTGTTTGCTAGAAATCCAAGAAACCGAGGCCAAATACTACAAAACACTTGAAGACATAGAAAAGGTAAGAACTAAGCTGTCTTTTCTATACCATCACCTTCCACGTCGTCCCTTGATGTTGCTTTAATCTCGCTGTATTGGCTCTTGCCATGTTAGTTCTCGCTGCGAGAGCTGGCAGATGCGATGAGGCAAGATTGGTGCATTCACATGTAAAATTGGAGAGAAGGAGGATCCAGAAAACCCATACTGACAAGCACAAACGTGCAGTCTGTTACCGTAGGAGCCAAACAGCATATTTTTTCTGATCACTGCATGTTGGAACTCGGCTGAAAACCATCCTGCTGTGTCCCCCCTACCCTGGGGTAAGAGACTCCCGCTCCTCGCTCAGCCAGGCCGGGCTCACTGATAAGAGCTGTGTTTGCAGATATCTTATCGCTTTGATTGCTATGGAATAATTTCTTTATTCCGGATGTTTTTTCCAAAAGCGCTGAAGCTGTGCTGACTTGTCGTTGAAACTAATTGGATTAAAAGCAACATTTTGCTGCTTAAATTCATGGGGTTTAGAATAGAATAGAATTAGAATAAGAATGGAATGGAATGGAATGGAATGGAATGGAATGGAATGGAATGGAATGGATTGGAATGCATTTTTAATTGGTTTTGATAAGTTATTGTCATGCCTTTCTTTTAAATAAAAATAAAAATTAACACCTCAGCAAGGCAGCAGAATCCTGGGTATGGCTGGAGCCTGGAGATGCTTTCTGCTCGGAGGAAAGCAGCAGGACTGAAGAACAATAGTGAAGAATCAAGCTGCCATTTCTAATCACCCTAACGTTTTTGTTTCCTGTCCTTTTGCAATTGCCTGCATCTGTCTGCTGAAAGATCCCTCAAGGAAGCTGCGAGTGGAACTGGCAGGACGGGATAACGTTTCCTCTTTTCCATGTCCTAATGTACATGTGCTTTATGTAAATAGCTCTTGTTCCTTGGAAACAGCCACAGCCCTTCTGGTTCAGTCTAAAGGAAAAGTTAAATTATTGCTTCGATATCCATTAAAAAGGCTTGTGGAGGATTAGTAGGTTCTGACGGCGTGTTATGGGTAGATGGTCCCGTCTTCGGTGCGCTGCGTTGGGTTTTTTCTGTAGTTACAAGTCATGGGGACGTTCTATTAATATGTATTTGTTCAGAAAGGCATTTCCAATGTAATCCCATCATGGGCGCTTTTTCAAGGGCAGAATTCTAGTGAGATACTCACAAGAGCTGAAAAGATGTTGCTGAGCTCTTCCCAGCTGCAGCAAGGTGAAGAAACCGTGTGTGCTGAAATCGCCCTCCTGGCGGATTCAGCAGGGCTGGGGGCTCTGCCACCCACGGACGAGGGTCTTGCACCTTCTTCCCGCTGGAAGAGCCGTGGGGGCCAAGGGCAGCTTAGGGGGAGGATGCACCCAGGGGGAGTCCAGGCTCCCACTTGGCTCCCCTTGAGAACTCTGTTACCATTCACCTGCCTTAAGTGCAAGGGCTTAAATCCTTTGAAACCCGGCTTGTCCCTGCCCGGGTAAATGCAGCCAGTGGAGCAGGGAGAAATACCTCCCCTGCCCAAAAAAACCCAGAACAATAGCTTGTTTACTGCTTCATGGTATTTCAATCCCTTTTCTCTTTACCTCTTGCAGAACTATATGAACCCACTGAGGCTGGTACTGACTCCTCAAGACATGGAAGCAATTTTTATCAATTTGGAGGTAACGGCATAGACATTGTGGCTTAAGTCGTTCTTCTTTTCATGGCAGCTCCTGCTTAAGAGAAAACTCAGATTTCACGCTAGGTTTGTGCATTCACCTGTAGAGGTTCAGTCCTTCATGTGCTGCGGAGCTTGAATGGGTTTAGGAGATATTCTTTAATGCTCAGTTTTAGAGTTGGGGATTATATAAACTCTGGGTAAGAAAACAATTTTATACAGAGGATATTCCAGGGCTGGGGCTGTGCATTTCAGCTGTACTTAGAGGTGGTTTGGGCATGCTGTGAGGAAGGAATTTATTTCTAAGCTGGCTTGCACAGGCCCTGGGTCAGAGCTGCCCATCTCCTCCACTCCCTCCAAACCTGCAAAAGGGACTTCAACACGCATGGAAATCCTGTTTTCCCCTGTGTAACCTCCTGATGGAATTACACCCTGGCAGACCTGGCCATTTAGGGCTACTTCTTCACTGGAATGACTTATTTTAAAAAGAGCTAAAAGCGGGGAAAAAAGGAAGAGAGAATGACTGCCTGATTAAGTAGTGAACGTGCATTTCTTTAGCCTCTGTTTGCCCACTCACTTTGGATGTGTTTAAAGTATTGATTGTTTCTTCATTTTAGGACCTAATTAAAGTGCACTTCAGTTTCCTGAGAGCCATCGATGTCTCTATGATGTCTGGAGGAAGCAGCCTGGCAAAAGTGTTTCTGGAATTCAAAGAGAGGTAAAAGAAACCTGTGTCCTCTAGCAGCTCCAGTTTTAACAGACAGGGGTTAATATTTGCAGGGACCAGCTGAGAAAGAGTGAAGTAAAACCTCAGGGGTTTAGCACAGTCTTCCTGTGCAAGGTCCTGTGATGTGGTGGGATGACTTCTTTGCAGGGGAGACTTCGCTCTGGTTAGATCAAAGTGATTGCTCAAACCAAAAAAATCGTGTATTTGGCACTGCTACTGTCCCGCACCTCTTGTGATGAATAAATGTAAAAGTTGCTTTCGCAAACATACTACATTCTGTGTTTTGGCAGCTGCGAGCAGGAGTACCCCAGAACACAAAGATAAGGTTAATAAAAGCCTTTAATATCCTTAATACTAATCAAAGGCCTGATTCATTGTGGAATTTTGCCAGGGTGTTATTTCACTGTGATTAAACCAGTGTCTAGACACAGAAATGCCATTCAGAAGTCAATAACTCTAGAAATACCATCTGCATTAATAATACACCGTAAGGTCAGATATTCCATCATCCACAGCGCCTCTTTTTTAAAAAAAGTGGATGTTTTCTGGATTAAATAAAAAAAAAAGTTTCCAAAGAAGAATGCAAATAATTTAAAAACACTTATAAAGCTCAATTAGGTGATTCTGATCTCCTGACTCCTGGCTCGGCTCCATACACACCGATGCCGTCCCCAGGATAGAGCAGGCAGGGAGGGGACACGGGAGAAATTGTGGAGGTGACATTGCTCCTGAGTGAGACCCACATGCCTGGGCAGGAGCATGAGGCTTGTTTTTGGGCCGGCAGCCCAAAATTTGCTGTTGGGAGCTCAGCAGACACCCTGATGGGTTACATGCAGGTAGGTGGACAAAACTGACCCAGGTCCTTAATGGGGTTGGTAAGCAGCTTTGTAAGGGACCTGAACGCTTTCCTGAGAAATGAGTTAAGGAGCTGGAGGGCTCCAGCTGCGATCGGGTGACGGCAGCTCCGAAGCTGCATTCAGCCCCTGGGGTCTCGGGGCTCTCAGCACTGAGGGAAACAGCTGCTCACAGGGAGTTTTGGCTTGGAGGAAACCCCAGAACCCGGCTCGAGGGGGGATGAAGAGTTAGGAGAAACCTGATCTAAATAGGCAAGGTCCTTTCCTATGTCGGGAAAGACGATGGGACCATATTTTACAGCAAGGAGATGGGGGTGCAGGAGGAGAAACTGAGCTCACCTGGGGAGATGGTGTTGTCCCACCAAGAAGGGAACATGGACCACCAGAGTCCCACTTGGTCCCTGTGTGTAAGACCTTCATCAAATGTATCCGTGACAAATAGCTCTCCCTTCCCTATGTGTCCTTGGAGACATCCCAACAAAATGATTTATTATTGCTCTTCTGCTTTGCAGGTTGGTTTTTTTGAGGGGTTTTGTTTTGTTTGTTTTTTCTTTTGAAAGGGAAGTGTTTGTAAATCTCTTTCTTTGAAAGCCAAGGTTTGAATTTATGCTCCTGAAGCCTCTTTGAAACTCTCCAGGTGCTGGCAAAGTAGGTATTATTGTGCACGTTCAGAAGTTGTCAAGAGGAAAAGGCAGAAGAATAATCTGTATTGGCTGCTGCTTTGCTGGGGACTGCGACTCCCATAAATCTCTCTATTCAGTTCCCCACCGGCGTCTGAGGGTCCCACGTTTACGGAGCAACGCTGGGTCAGGTGCTCCCAGATCGTCTCCATCGAGAGACAATGTCCTGAAATAATGGATGAGTTGCAGCATGTGGTGAAATATGTGTCTTATCAGCAGCAATACAGTTAACGGCAAGGAAGGGGGGGAACCCAGACCTGTCATGCAGGATTAATGAGCAAAGTAGAGGAAAAAGGGGGAATCCACAGCAGAACTGCTGTGTTTGTGTCAGGTGTTTAAATTAATAGCTCAGAGTCTCTATACAGAGCTTCACTGTGTTTCCAAAGGCTGTGACAACCTTCTTTTCCCAAATTACTCGGTCTCTTGATCTCTAGCTCCCTGTGGCCCATCCTGCAAGGAGCAACGAGCTTTCTAAAATGTGTCCTTGGGCTTCAGGGAGATTCAAGCCTCTTGTTCTCTGGTGAGGTGCAGATTGCCATCACCCACATCCATTCTCAAGAACCAAGTATTTCTCCTCTAGGGAAGGTCTCTCAGTGTGGAGCTGGGTTTCCCCGTGTGGTCACGGTGCTCTGAAAGCATCGCTCTTGGGGAGCAGTGGTTAAATAGATCACTCGTGGGAGTGGACGAATGAGCCATTGTACCTCCCAAAACAAGGCTCCTCTGGCCACTCCTCATCTCCCCTCTTCATGAGCTGAATCACCCCCACAGGCTCTAGAAACTTCAAAAGATTTAAACGTTAAAAAGCCGCACAGTGTAAGAGTGTTAATACTTCACTAAGTAGTTATATGGGGGAATAGCTGCTTGCCTTGTCCTTTCGCTGTAGGTGAGCACATATATCTTTTATAA